CCGGCGCGGGCGGCCAGATCTCCGGCGCCATCGGGCCGCCGCGGCACGGCATGGTGGCTGCCGCCACCGCGCCAGATCCGGCCCGCACGTCGCGCCCGCCGCTCACGCCGGCGCTCGACAAGCCCAACTCCGGCGCCGCGGCGCCCCGCCGGCCCGCGCGCTCCGGCAGCAAGCCCGTCTCCTCGCGCTACCTCGCCTCCGCCGCCTCGCCGGCCTCCTCCACCTCGTCGACCTCGTCCTCGTCGTCCTCGTCCGCCTCGTCGCGCCGCTCCCTGTCGGCGCAGCGCGGCCGCTCCTCGACTCCCCCGCCGCAGCACGCCACGTCGCCCACGCCCGTGGCCGCGGCGACGGCCGCGACCGTGACGGCGACCACGATGCGGAGCCTCTCGGTGTCGTTCCAGGGGGAGTCCTTCTTCTACCAGACGTCGCGCGCGCCGCGGGCCGCGTCGCCGTCCTCCCCTGCCGGCCGGCGGGGCCCCACGCCGGAGCGGCGGAAGAGCGTGTCCTCTGTGCCGGAGGCCGAGAACGCGCGGCCCCAGCACCGATGGCCCGCGGCCAAGCCCAAGGCGTCGGACCCGCTCGCTCGAAGCCTCGACTGCAACCTCGACCGCAAGGACTCCATCCTGGCTGCCGTCCAGCTCCTCCGCCGATCCATGGCCTTCGACTCCACCACCTCCTTCTCCCCCTCTGACCATGCCGCCGCCGCTGGTCCTGACCTCTCCGCCTCCGACACCGACAGTGTCTCCTCCGGTAGCAACTCGGGAGCCGGCGATCCGCCACGCCGTGGCATCAGCGTGCCAGCGAGGTTCTGGCAGGAAACCAACAGCCGTCTACGAAGGCTTCCGGACGCAGGGCTGCCGCAACAGTCGTCTGGACGGAGATCGTTCTCAGACAGCCAAATGTCACCGAGGCTGCCTGGCCGGTCCCCGTCTCCAAGCCGAGGAAGCAAGGGGACGGCGAGCCCATCAAGGGGGCGAGCTGGGGAGGCATCACCAAATGGGCACATGGTTCAGACGGCAGCAAATGCGCCATCTATCATCAGCTTTGCTGCAGAGGTGAGGAGGGCAAAGAAGGGGGAGAACAGAATTGAGGAGGCACACAGATTGCGAATGCTGGACAACCAGCATTTGCAGTGGCGGTGCATCAATGCTCGGACAGATGCAACCCTTCTGGTGCAGAGCTTCACTGCCGAGGTAAATCTTAACCTATGAACTTTTCTAGTATATATTTTTTGTTCAAATGTTGATAGCTTGTTGTAAAACCTAAGTTCACTCTAAGATTTCACTTTGTGCCTCTGATAGGTAGCACTTCACTAGTTAACAAAACCAATTTTGCTGTCGTGGTTGCTTGCTTGCTTAATATTTTTACTGCAAACGTGGGGTAATTCTGGGATAATATGCTAGGACTTGTTACTGATCACTATGACATTTAGTATTTGCTAGCTGCCTCTTTCAGGATAATGGTTAGTTTTTCAGTCTACATTGATTAGCAGATGATTTGTAAAGCGAACATATCCAACCCTTTTCGGTCAAATGTAGCGATCCTAGCTATACTATCTCTGATTGTTGATAGAGGAGATAAGGAGAATCTTTGAACACAATGCATTTCACATGTATAAAGTATCCATCATCACTTAAGTTTGCGCCGGTCTGTTGAATCAAGCTAAACTTGTTGTTTTGAACTTTGATGGACATAGTTGAAGGCGCGGGTAGACTGGCATGCAATTGTGGGTGTATGAAAGCATAAATTTAAGATTGGTTATTCATTAACATCTAGGCCCTATTCAAAGTATGGATCACAGCTCAACATGTATTGTCATAAATAACTTGACTAAGCTATTAGACTTTATGAGAACAAGGAGATACTAATGATGATTGATTATCCATCTCAAACGAATTGCAGTTAATACAGTTTATATTATCTGAAACAAATGGATATGCACGCTAAAATTGGCAAATATAGAGATGTTTAATCACTTGTACTTGTAAAGCTATCTTTTGATGAAACTGCACTGTATTTGGAAACTTCTTACATTGCAGCATAATTATATGCTTATGCGTAAAAGAATCGGAAAAGGCCCAGTATGTTTTTATTATAACAACTGTTTCCTATCTCATTTTTTTCATCAGAAAACCCTACACAGTGCATGGAAGGAAATATCAAAGTTGCGTGACAATGTCAGTTCGAAAAGGTGCAAACTCCAGCTTCAAAAACAAAAACTGAAGCTGTTTGCTATTCTTAGGGGAGAGGTATGTGATACGAGTTACATAGCTTATCTTATTGCTTTTACTGTTTTATGGTTTGTATATGATTTTCTTTTCCTTTTATTTACTTTGTATAGCTTATTTATCTGACAGCTTTCATTTGACATGTTCAGATGTCGTATCTAGAGGAGTGGTCTCATGTCGAGAAACACCATTCAAGTTCTTTGTCAGCAGCAATTGAAGCACTAAAGGCCAGTACTCTCCGTCTTCCGGTTGTTGGTGGTGCAAAGGTGGGAATTTTCTCATCAAACCTTAGCTGACTCGTTTTGTTTTCCGCAAGCTAACAATTGCTTATCTCTGAGCAGGCTGATGCCCAAGGTGTGAAGGAGTCTGTTAACTCAGCGGTTGATGTAATGCATACAATGGCATCGTCAATGTGTAATTTGTTGTCAAAGGTGCATTCCAACATCCTGCAAAGCTTCAATCCACATTTCTTTTCCTTGGTTTCGGTTGTTATATAATCTCAAATTGTCAAGAATGAACTCATCATTTTTATGTTACAATAAGTCCACAAATATAAGCTCCATCCCTGATAATGCAGAAAATTGTATTTATTCTTGATTTCTCATTGTGTTGTATTCCCACCGTCCCAAAATAAGTGTCTCAACTTTAGTACAAGAGACACTTATTTTGGGACGGTGGGAGTATAAGATAAGCTTTGGCACTATGCCTTAGTATGTACCTCTTAGTTATTACTCCCTCTGTAAAGAAATATAAGAGCGTTTAGATCACTACTTTAGTGATCTAAACGCCCTTATAGCTCTTATATTTCTTTACAGAGGGAGTATTTATTAAGGCTCTGTTCGGTATTGCGGTGGATTTTAATAATCCTTTTCGTCTTAACCAGCTTTTGCCCTATTTTATCGTTCCCTCGGACCAAAATTCCTACTTCTGTCAGATATTTTTCCTGAACAGTTCATAAAATAAGTTGAGACCAACACACTTCAGTGATATTTTTCTTTCTTTTATATAGCTTATTAAGGTCGTATGACATAGTCTGTTCTTCTAGTTCCTGATTTGTCTTGAGTATGAGCTCTAATTTCCAATCTGGATCTATGCGCTAATTGCTTTCTGATCCCTGTTATAAATACATAATGACAAGTGGGCAGCTATTCTCTGCTAATATATTGATTCTTCATAAATGCAGATCTAAGATAGACAGATAGGATGTAATTACACTTGACAGTCTGCGTGAAAAACAGGCCTGCGTTCTGTAATAGACCTACAGTTCTGTTGTCGATATTGAATGTTGTCTGCTTGCCTCTTTTGTGAACACCTGGCAATAGGATGTAATTACACTTGATGTCTACATGGCCTTGAACAATAAGCGGACTGTCAAGACATTCGTGTCATGTCAATGAGTTTCTTGTGGCAATCTCCCATTTCTTAAATTGTCATAAATTTTATTGACCCAGGTGGAGGGGACAAGCTCGGTGGTGTATGAGCTTGCGAAGCTTGCAACACAAGAGCAAATGCTGTTGGACCAATCAAGGGATCTCTTGTCCACGGTGGCAGCGATACATGTAGGGAGCACTTCTATGACCTTTGGTTCAGTTCTGGACATTGTTTAGATAATCTTGTTAACCTTACATACATTGCAACGCAGGTCAAACAGTGCAGCTTGAAAACTCACTTGCTGCAGCGAAAGCAAAGGCAGAGCCTCCAAACACAGTGGTAGATCAGTTATCGTCGCCACGTTGGTGGTCACTACTAACATGACACGGCCTCATCTTTCCTCACTGGAGACTACTACTACGACAGGTAATAAAGCTGTAACCATTTGTTGGGTGTGAAGTGTGTCCCCTCCTAATCCGCTCGACCGATCCCGCTGAGTGTAGCTGATTCATGTAATTTTTTTCGAGTGCATATCACCATAGAATGGCCTCCCCCCCCCTCTTTTGCCTGCGGTTTGTTTGCAGCGGGTGTATACAGAGAGAGAAGCTAGTGTTTGACCAAAAGATAAGCTTTGCTGTAGATATGAGAAAGCTTAGCTTGCTTGTTGTCGTCGTGTGCGTGCTGAGTGCTCGAGTGCTGGTTTGTAATTCTGGGAATGGAAACAACTGTCTGTTTGATATAGGCGTTTTCATGGCCGATTAACGCGGAGATTTGTTTTCCCTTATCATGACCTGCTCGTGCTGCATGTGCCTGCGTTGTTAATCCTGGAAGCGTGAAGTGCTCTCTCTGCTTGTTGTAACGAAACTCTGGTACTTACGCTGGTTGCATGGACCTCTGACTCTGAGCGGTTGTTGCATCCTGATGCAGTAATTGAGAAGAAATGGTAACGTGAGATGTGTGTGGCATGTTAAATGTGGTACGGGATGTTGGATCCTGCTGAGGTGTGTAGGGCACGTACCGTAATGGAAGGCCCGGACGGCGTCCGCGTCCGCCGGTTGGCGGCGTGTCACTTCACAGGCAAACCGACAGAGAAGGCCACCGTACCCCGTTGGCCGTTGCCCACGCGCGGCGAACGTACGTGCCCACCAACCGTCCTGTTCGGCTGCCTCCGCCGGAGAGCGACGGTATTCGACGGGCACGGCGACAGGGGCGCACGGCGATTTAAGACCGGCGGCCCCTTGCGCCAGCGTTGCGCGTAAAAACAGTGCCGTGATACGGAGGGATCCGAGGCGTTTGTTGGCTCTGGAACAAAAACAGGTCTTTGTATCTTCAAGAAAAAACAGGTCTTTGTCGTATGCCCATGTGTAATTTAGGCAGCAGGCTGAAGCCTCAGCCCATCAGCACATCATGTCTACGAGTGTCATGTTCTTGCCTAAAAGAAAAGAGAGTGGTGTCAGGACCTAACGGCGAGCATCTCAAGAATTAGAACAATGCAGACATAGATTTAGTTAAGTTTGAATTCGCAGTTGTTGGCGAAGCTCCCAATACCGTCCATCTGCGATCTGACGTTCGTCCTGCGCCCGTACCGCTTCACGGTTTCTTGATGCTCTGGATCGTGTCCATCCTGCATCGGATGGTTGTAGATCTTGAGCGCGTCGCTGTTTACCTTTCCGGCAAAGAGAACAATGTCTACCAGCTTCAGTTTCACTTTCTTACTTTTTCCTTCATTTTGTAAGGCTATAAAGCCCCGTTTCTGGATCGATGGAGAACCATCTCTTGTATTAGGGTTTCCTCCTTTTAGCCTCTAGTGTTCCTGGCCGGCCTTAGGTTCCTCTTGATTTGCATCCAAACTCTCATAATTATCCAATAAAGTTGCTAAGATTTGAGTGTTTCAGTTAACTTGTTTGAATCTAGTTCTTCAGACCGACTCAAGTCTTACAAGTGGTAATCGAAGCTTGGTTCATCTCCTCGGTGTCGCAAGATCTGGTGCCGAAGTGGAGTCGGGGGACCCATAAAATCCTTTACTCGTGGTGTGTTCCCTGGGCACGTGTGGCGGTGGCGACAGTTCGGTACAGGTCTGGAGCTGGGAAGTGGTTACAGAAACGCACCGCTTCGGCAGTAAAATCCCACCCTCCAGATCCGGTGTACTTCCAGTGGCATGGCGTTGGCGGTGGCGGTGGCAGGATCAACGGCTAAGGTCCGGTTGCAGCTCTTGCTATTGTAAAATCCCCTCCTTTGCCCGAAGATCATCAGTAGTGAGGTTACTTGGTTCCTTGCCAGTTCTAAAACCCTTCCTATTATACTTCTTATCACATGATGGATGGCCCAATGGACTCCTCTTCCATGGATAACTTGGAAGTACAATCCTTGCAATTGGATGTCAAACCCCTACAACAGCATAGAGAGCATGACAGGCAGGATTTTGAGGATTTCAGAGAGCATATGACAAACAACTTCCAGTCACTCTAGAAAACCTTAGGGGAACCATAGGGAACTTTAAATCAGTTTATCTCTCTCAGGTTTCCCTAAACCAAGAGATAACACACCCAATACGCAAGATGCTAGTCAAGGCAGTGGACAACGTCAAACCCCTCAAGGCTCTCTCAAACACCCAATAGATGATCTTCATACTCCACCAACGGCTGGCTCTGCAGTCCTTGTTGACAAGCAGACTGGAAAAGAGCTCAATTTGGATGGCAGCAACAAAATTCCCTATAGACACCCTCATTTTGCTCAGAACAAAAACAATGGTACTGAAGCAAAAGCTACCACTGGAGGTCGTCAACCAGGAACTGCACAACAAATTATTCAGCTAGATCAGGAAGAGCTGGAAGACCCTACTCAACAGAAAGAAAGAAGAGTAGCAAATATGCCAATAGATCAAGTGTAAGACAACAGAAGACCTCTTGCCATAGTTAAGCCAGCAAAGTACAACATTCCCGAGTTTGATGGCAATGGCACTGACTCTTGGATACAAACTATTGAAATGTACTTGAAGCTACAAGAACACCAGCTAAACAGGAAAATGAGATTACAATTACATACCTCAAGGGCCCTGCTATTGAATGGTGGAGAGGAACTGGGATAATTGCCAACACACTGCCCTAGTACAAATTTTGTAGGTACCTTGGAGATGGATTCTCTGAAACTTCTGTATGTGATATTGCGAGAACTTTCCATGCTCTTACTCAAACAAGCACTGTCAATGACTATGTACTAAAGTTTGAGCAGTCCATGAATTTAATGAGAATGGATAATCCAGCTCTACCCTCAAGATTACTACAAGACAAGGTTTGTACAACAACAACAAAACAACAATAACAACAACAAAGTCTTTAGTCCCAAACAAGTTGGATTGGCTAGAGGTGAAACCCATAAGATCTGGCGACCAACTCATGGTTCTGGCACATGGATAGCCAACTTCCACGCACCCGTGTTCATGGCTAGTTCTTTGGTGATACTTCAATCCTTCAGATCTGTCTTTAGGACTCCTTCCATGTCAAATTCGGTCTACCTCGACCTCTCTTGACATTATCCGCATGCTTTAGCCGTCTACTATGCACTAGAGCTTCTCGAAGCCTGCGCTGAATATTCCCAAACCATCTCAGACGATGTTGGACAAACTTATCTTCAATTGGTGCTACCCCAACACTATCTTGTATACCATCATTCCGGACTCGATCCTTCCTTGTGTGGCCACACATCCATCTCAACATGCGCATCTCCGCCACACCTAACTGTTGAACATGTCGCTTTTTTAGTCGGCCAACACTCAGCGCCATACAACATTGCGTACTACAAGACAAGGTTTATAGCTAGCTTAAATGCCAACATTCAACATCATGTCCAGTGTCATGACCCCGTTGACTTACACAAGGCAATATGGCTTGCAAGGAGGATGGAACAATCACAACCACATAGAAGAGTTGTATAGAGCACTATTGTTGAATAGGTTAGAAGGCAGGTGCAATTTGATCTTGGAAAGCCTGGCCCAACTAACAGTGCCTCAATCATACAACAAGCTATAGTTAAGGGCATCTGTTACAAATGCATGGAACCTTGGTTTCCTGGTCACAAAAAGTGTGTAAACTTGCTAACCAAGCTCAAATACAGGCTTACAAGTAGG